GAGAGAGAGAGAGAGAGAGAGAGAGAGAGAGAGAGAGGAGGCCTGCTCGTCTGAGGAGAAGGCTATGTGACTGGGCCAGTGCCGTGTGGGACACTGCCTCACACCTGGCACTCAGCAGAGTCTCAGAAAACTCTAGCTGACAGGAATGAAAGGCTCCGTGGTGAGCGTCTGTGAAAGGTCTGGCTTGGGCCACGGGGAGGCTAAGAGTGAGGAGGTCGGCTGCTTACCCAATGCCATCGTCTTCCCTGCCCAGTCTGCCCTCTCACCCTCACCCTAACCCTGCGGAGGGGAGCAGAGGGTGAGTGCCCAGAACGCACAGAGGCTTGAGAAAAGGCAGCGTTCCCAGCTCCGTGTCTCTGAGGGTTGGGTCGCTTCCTCCTTCTTTCCAGATGAGCTGCCTGTCTCCAGTGGCCTCCGCACCGAGTGCTGAAACTTGGACCAGAGGCCGTGACACACTAGAGAAGGCAGGTGCCTACCTTATGCACCCAAGTGCCCTGAGAGGTCCCACTCACACTGTGTGGACCTTCAGGCAGCCCCCAGCGCCCCCGTAGTCCCAACCCATAGACCCGCAGAGGTGAAGGGAGGAGGACTCCCTGTCTATCCGAGTGAGTGACAGCATGCGTGTGTCTGTGTGCCATGATTCAAGGAAAGTTTGGGACCGAGTGCTTTTCAGAATAGCAGAAAGTCAGTGCAGCTGAGCCTGTACCTCAGCTCCAGACAGGATGAATCCCGCCCAGGCTGCCAATAAGAAGACCAATCCTTCAAGCCCGTATAAAAAGCGAGGCGGTCAGGTGCTCGCTGTGCAACCTGCCCAGTCCCAAACTCAGAGGGGTTCCAGTGTGGTTTCCTGCTCTGCTGTTGAGTTCTCGCGATCCTTAATCACTTTTGAGCCGTCACACCCGAGCTTTCATTGCTGCCCAGGCCTCATGATTTATATAGCCAGTCTGGATCTGGATTGGACCGGCTGAGATGGGAGCCTCTTCTAGGGGCCACAGAAACAAGGGGGGCACGGGGCATGGGTCGCTGACGTCGCTGTTTCCGGCCTGGTCATCTACTGTCTATTCCTGGGCATCCCCGTACACCACTCAGGCCCGCTTCGGAGCTCTTCCCAGAACCACGTGTCCACCCTGACTGCCTTGCACCTGGAGGGTCTGCAGCCTCATGTGGCCCCTGAACTCTGAGTATCACCCGGCCCTGGACGAAACCAGCACCTTGACCTGGCCTCGTCCTCACCAGGAGGGCCCTGATTCTGGGGAAGAACAGTGACATCCCAAACTGGCCTCGGTTCCCTCCCTGGCCACGGGCCGTGGAAGCGTGCCTAATGCTGTGTTTTGGCAACCTCCTCTTCTCTCAGCAGCTCTGCCTCTGGCAGCCCATAAGCAGGTTAAAGCCATGGCTTATAAGGCCTCCCTCTTTTTTTCCCCCAGGGAAGAGGCCCAGGACCGTATGGATGGTGAACCACGGGTTTTGGAACCTCGTCTCCAGGAAGATGGCTTTGAGGTGTTGCGTGAACACTGCCAGTGAGCGCCTGTGGACCCTGTTGCTGGTTGGCGGGCGACCTGAGCCCTAACCCTCCGGGCCTCTGTGCCACTCCTTCTCCTGCCTGCTCTTGGCATCTAGCCAGTGCCGCTCAGCTGCCCTGTGGGACTGAATCACATAACCGCGTGGCCTGGGGCTCCCCTACATTCACGGTCTCCCCGCTCACCTGGAATATGCATACTCCCAGCATCCCACCCAGACCCGTGGGCCTTTATCCACACGGATGGGGCCCACTGATCGCAGGGGTCCCGAAGAGCCCAGACACCGGCCATTTATAGGAACCCCTTGTGTCGGTAAAGCAGGAGACATCCACATCGATTTGCAAGTTTAATGTAACACTGATAGCAAAACCGTGAACACAGAAGAAAAAGCACACCAGGAAAGCAAGAAGAACAAGGGAAGCTGCATCTTCCCAGCCCCTGTGACCCACAGGGGGAAGCGCCCAGAGTGCTGGGTGAGAGGGCCGCTGAGGGGGCTGTCTGGCTGGGTGAGGACGACCGCCGCAGCGCCTCAACGCTGTCTGCAACATGGGAATGAGAGGGAACGCGTACACATCAGAACCCACAGTAACCTGCCAGGGGCACAAGCGATGACACCAGCGTGCTTCCACGGGCTCACTGTTGCCCCCGCCCAGCCCTGCGCAGGCCTCCCTCCGACATCACCCAGCTGGGCCCCAGCCCTCCCAGAGGGTCTCAGGTCCCCGTGACAATCTTACTGGATCCAGGAGAAGAAGCTGGCACCAGCTCTAGCGGCATTTCTGGTGCGGATGGTGGAACTGGTGCTGGGGCCGTCTAGGATGCTGGTGCTGGCCCCAGGGTTGGGGCCACTGCTGACGCCAGCTCTCCACGTGGCTCTCCTGTTGGCACGGCTGCTATTCAGGATGTACTGATGGTACCTGGCCCAGAAAGCAAAGGGGATCCTGGCCCAGGCGTCGCCAAAATCCCCGTCCTCATCCCAGGTCAGCAGTTCGGCCTGTATGTCGTCCCAGCTCCACCGTCCAATCAGAGCTTCGTCTCCGATGTTCATCTGGGCCCTCATTTGGGCCCTGGCATGCTCCTCGGCCATATCCATGTCCATCGTCCTAAAAGCATCGTCCACAGCCTCCAGAAAATGAGCCTTCCACTCCCGGGGGTCTCGGTTCTGGTTCTGAGGTGGGAAACGGCAGCCAGCCATCACCACAGGTTACCCCACGTTCCAGGAACGCCTCCTGCCGGCCACACCTTCCCATGACCACACTCTCAGCCCCCGCGCTCAGCATGCCCGCTCCCACGTTCTCCAGGGACCGAGGATAGGGTGGGCCCTGGCCGGAAAATCCCGGGTTTCTACCTCTCTGAGCCAGAGCTGGGAATACGCCCCCTCCCCCAGGCTATGACCTCGGTGAACCTACTTAAGAAACTCAGGAACCTCTCAAAGCCTCCGGAGAGGAAAGGTGGTGACCAAGACACACACAAAGTACGGCAAGCGCCACCCTGCTGCTGGCCCCTGACAAAGACGCTCTCCAGTACCTGGGCGATGAATCTCAGGACCCTCATCTTGCTGGTCTCATGACAGGCTCGCAGGCCCCACAGGAACTCATACTCTGGTGGGTTGCTGCTGGGGATCTTCTTGTATTCCAGGTACCTGAGGGTGAGAGGGAATCGCCCTTTGCTTCTAGGCAAGCTGACCTGTGGCTGAACCGATGTGCTCCCCGCAGCTCCTCCTCAGCCAGGGTGCTGCAGCCCACCTCCCGGAAGAGGACCACCTGGGTCCTCAGCCCTGGACTCAGGCACAGCCTCACTCCCAGGCCCTCGGCTGAACGACAGCGAGTCCTCCAGAGCCTTAGATTGGTGACGCTGCCCGGAAGCCCTGGCTAGGGGCAGAGGCGACACGTGTAGGGCATCTGCCCATAGGGGGGCCACAAGTGTTGTGCCCCTCTTCACAGTGGCCCTGGATTCCTGTTGGGTGCGTTGTAAACAGAGAAGCCATTCTTGGGGCCCTCTGCTCTGAGCACACCCCATGGTAAGGGTCCCCAAGGAGGGCTGAGCCTGGGCATGAGCCACACTACAGACAATGGCCAGAAAAAAGGAAGAAACATTCAGCCAACGGTAGCTCCAGGCGCACCCTATATTCATCTCCTCTCCCGTCCTCCCCTCCCCTCCCCTCCCCTCCCCTCTCCTTTGATTGCTTATACTAA